TCCTACAGAATCGTCTGAAAATTGTGCCTCACTGGCTGTTTCCAACATAGATTTTTCCACACATGTGCAGCAGTTCCAGTTGCCACTCTCCCTCCAAGTAGTACACAAGGTTAGCGAAGAGAGTAAAGAAAGGTTCAAAATACAGATAATAAATATAAGTGTGCGAGATAAAGAATATTAATATGGAAGGACAATAGAGTTTTATTGGCTATGACAAATCACAAAGAGTGAATGCAGATGCGCCAGCCATTGACAACGAAGATTTTCAGCCATATCACTAATTGTCTCCAGCCATTGCTTCTTAGAATCGAGAGGACTACAGGCAGGTAGTCTGCACCACCACACGTTGGTCAGACTAACTGTTATATAATTCATTAACTGACTCCAAGTTTTGGTTTGACCACTACTAGCTTTCTCTTTTCAAAGCTGATCCTATGCCAACTAACGTCGCTCGTCGAGAAAGGCGATGGATAAGCATGCGTAACACATCTCCTAACCATCTCAGTCGATGTAACTTCCCAGCCTTGTAGATGATTGATTTCTCCTCCTTAACTCGAATGTGAAGTCAGTGCTACTTGCCATACGGATCAGAGACTTGCACTGCGCGTCGTAAAGAGCATCTCAAACAAACTACAGACCTTCATTAACAGTTGTCTTCGCTCAATACTCAAGATCAGATGGCCGGCCAGAAAAGATCAGCAACAGAGTTGGATCTCTGGGAGCGAACCAACACAGCAGGAACCGATTTTGCAACAAATAGGCAGGAAGAAATGGAGATGGATTGGCTGGCCATACTCTAAGGAAACAAACCATCAAGTGACATCACTAGACAAGCCATCGCTCGAGTGGAACCCGAAAGGGAAGCGGCGAGTTGGTAGTCAGTGCGAGGGTGGGTGACTCGGAGGAGGTCATGTGAAGAGGAGATGAAAACGTGTGGGCAGACTTGGAGCCAAGTGAACACTCTAGCAGAGAACCGAACTCAATGAAGACGCACAACTGAAGCCCTATGTTCCTCTAGGAATTAAAGGATATAATAATAATAATAACTAGTACTCGACAGAAGCCTAACCTCAACAATACTCACCCTATTGTATCACCGAACACGCGAGATAGAACACAGACACCTACGATCAAAGACTGCTAACCAGCCTTTTCATGTCTTCCACTTGCAATGGCCATATCTCACAGAGAACCATTAGGGAGGGCTGTGTGAACTGCTAAGCAGTACACACATCTTTTGATCGATAGCCTGCCGGATATGACGTCTACACCAAAGGTGGCATAAGTTCACAGGCAAATGCCAAACGAGTCTTCTGTATCCGTGCTGAGATTTCAGTTTGCTGGAGTTGGCCGAAGAAACTTCCAAAATAAGTCAACACGCTCCACCAACCACTCCACTACCCTCTGTCTTTAAGCTAGGAGCAGTCAATGTAATCCAGTCCTGTAGTATCTATCATCTTACATTTGACAGGAGTAAATTCCACGCCACACGTTCCACCAAGATTGTTGCTCAGCTCAAGGTGTTCAGAAGACGCTGCATTTTGTCAACGTTTTCACCTAGATGGGACTAGACTATATTATCTGTATATTCTAAGTCAACGAGATTATTCCCTGGTGGTAGGTAGTAAGTCAATCAATACCCGAGTGACTGAAGTCAGAGTTGGGGTTAAGTTCATTAACACATCATCTTTGATGAAATTAAACAGAAATAGGAACAACAATAAGCGCATACCTGTCTTCACTTCAGATGACAACAAAACTTGTGCATGGCTTAGTAGTGTTGCGCCACTGAAAGGAGAACCACCAAGTCATGCTAATAAAAACACAGGTAAAGTGATACCTCACTCAAACAAAATTCTTATATAACAATCGAATAAAGACAAAGTCAACTGTACTACTAAAATGAATTTTTAAACAGTCTTAAAATTAGTCAGTATATTTTCTCCATTCTCTATCGATCAATATAAACAATTCAATACTCAACAAATCAATAAGTCAATAAATCAAATTCAAATACAACAAACCTCAATTCCTTCACAAATTTGTAATTGATGAGTAAGTTTTGCATTCTCCTGGAGTAAACTCTCTCTCTTTCAACTAATAATTTATTTACTCTATCTTGATTGAAGTATTTTTTCTTCATTTCCGCCATGTATTCATTCTGTAATGAAAGGATCATATATATATATATATATACATAAAGTTCAAACTGATGAGAAAAAAGCTGTAAACATTGAAGTTGAAAAAAATTTACAGCGTTATATAGTGTAAACCACGATAGATAACAACACTACATTCATACAATAAGTGAGCATATATCATCCAAGTAGCACTGAGAACTTCAGTCAAATCACAGGCCTTATTGTGTTCAATAACATATATACTGAAATTATCATTTGTGACACAGTATCAACTATATATCTGATGGTAGACTGGCTAACAAGAAGACAAGATGACAGTATTAAGCGGGGGGAGGGAGGTATTTCCTGGAAGAAGTTATGCGTTGGCCAATGCGCGCACACACACACACACACATACATACCTTTCAGATCATTTGTTCCTCTTACATGCAAACAAAATCTTATCAGTAGCATGATGTATCGAGCTAGAGAAATCTGCACAATCGACACTGTGGACTATGAAATAAGGGAAATATAAAACTTAAAATATATGACAACGGATACCCCGAAAGTTTTTTTCAAGTCTTCATGAGGAGAACAGATAGAGAGAAATGCCTGCGAATGGTGTAGATAAGATACATGCGTAAACCTTGGGCACTGTGGTAGTAAGTAATTCCATATTAATTTGTTTATTAGATGCATCACACATAGTGTGAAACAGTATTACTATTTACTGAATGACAAAGTTTCGAACACAAATTGTTATTGTTCATAAACATATCAATTATAATCACACAAATTCGCAAATTTACTTTTATAGTTTTCCTTATTCTTTTTTTCCTATCTGATAGTTCTAAGATCTAATATAGTAGAGTGCAGGGAGAGATCAATCACGGAAGCTTCATTTATCGAATCAACTGCAAACCAACAGGTGTAATCAGAATGATTCAACATCTGTCCACTCAGACATCTGGAAAATTCTACTACCTCTACAAAAAATAGGCAAGAATAAAGAAAACTATAAAACTAACGTTTCGAAGTTGTATGATTATAATTGATATGATTGTGAACAATAACAAATTGTGTTCGAAACCTTGTCATCCAGTAAATAATAATACTGTGACATATCCAATAATCAAATTCATATGGTGCAGAAGGGACGTATATACATGACTTGATCGTTTAAAGGAGACACACACAACTTCGAAAAATTATAGTTAAGACATTTTTTGCCGCAACATTGTGTTTAGAATTTGCTATTCATTGTTTAATTCCAATGCAGGTGAGTGATAAGCTACCGAGTCTGACCAATTCAAGGTGCATTTACAAATTCAACTGTTCATATGGAGACACCTACATAGATAGAAAGATTTGGGAAGCCCACCGTCGCCTTCTGGAGCATTGTCCAACGTGGTTAGGTAAAGGTGTAGTGACGTCAAGCAGAAATTTCATACTGGCACACATAGTGGATACAGAGCACACGATTGACAAAAATTCAGATTTTACAATTCTATACAAAGTGTTATCTCAACTCCCTAGGTTGGTACGTCTTCGGTTGCTAGGCTAGGGCTAGCTGGGGCAGTCACCATAATGATTTTTCAAGCCAGTATCTGTGCTCAAAAACGTTTGTTCAATCTCTTCACCCACCCACCCCCCACATTCTAAAATAGTTATCTCTCTTGGTGACACAGGAAAACTGTAAATATTATCTTATTATCATTTTATTCTATTTGTAATGCTAACTGTATTATCAATATCATTCTGTTGTAGATTTTAACCTCGGTTTCACAACTCATCATTATCATATTATCTAGTCGCTATGTGACAATAGTTACTTCCTCTCTCCACCCCTAATAACACACACACACACACACATTCTATCTATACACTCACCACTACCTGGATTATACAAACATTTGAATCAATTTATCCTTGTTATTATTATTATTATTATGATCACGCCGATTGTTATCCATTAATTCGCATCTCTACACTCTGATCCTGGATATTTTATTCACCAAATTAATTCAAATGCACATGATTGATATTTCATCATGCAAAATGTAAAGCCTGATGAGAATTTACCGACAATACGTATTTGCTTAAATCGTGTTCTATAATTACCATTATGATAACACCTAAATTGTCGTGAGAGCTGTCTGTCAGCCGACAATCGCAGACAGCAATTTACGTCGATGTTACGTCCTGAATCAGGGTCATGAGAAAAAAACAATAACAAAACTTAACCTTGAGGAACTCACCAACCAATCACAGAGGACTTAATGTGTGCAAATACGATTCGCAGATATATATGGCTTAACTTTCTGAGAAACGGTCACAAGCAGTACAGAATAACCTTCAGCAAGAAAACAACCAATCAGACGAGGTTGCTTCTCTGCTAACAATAACGCTAATAATAATGTACATAAAAATCTATAAATATCTCTTGATTTTCTCAATAAACGATCTGTTGCCTGTCCCTTGTCGTCTGACGTTACAAAATTATATCCCATGGTGTTTCGTAAGTTAAGGCAATATACATCAACCAGCATCATCTCTGGCACCACTTCCTACTTAAGACTTCCACACTGTCTCATAAAGCTTCATCCTGTATAATTTTGCACACCAAATACGGAACTAGCCTTCCCTGAGTTGAAGACTTCCCCGCTGATGAATGTTCAATTGTTCTCACTTGTGCAGGATGTTTTCGTATCGGATAGTTGTAAGCACCATTTTTAAGTTAAACGACGCGTCCGAATAATGTTCAGATTATCTTACAAATGAAGCGCTTATATTCACTCACCTCTTATAAATAAAATGTCCGAGTTATGAAAGTATATCGTAAGTCAGAGTATGTCAATAAGCAAAATAGACTGGAAGTTACAAACAAATTGTAGTTATCAATAAGGAAACATTTTCACCTTGTGCATAACTTACGACTTTAAGCTTATTTTCTGTTTCTGAACGCTGCAAATCTTCTTTCAATTTACTGATCATTTCCCGCTGTCGAACAATCAGTTTTTCAGCACGTCGGCGTCGATCTTCAATCTAAAATTTATTTAAATACACAGGATGACACTTTGCAAATATACCATATTTAAATGTGATACTGAAATGCAGTAAAACACATTTCCTTTGACTAACAGCCACACTTGTGTTAAGAGAAAACAGCATGTAACTCCAATAAAAAAACACAAACCACTAAGATATATCACACTATGCTAATATATGAATGTCTTTATATGTATATTATACGGTTACAAGTTGAAGCCAGGTTGTGTGTAACTGGTTTCAAAGAGTTACACCCAGGGCTTTGGAATCACACAGCACTAATGCTCTTCCTTTTTCAGGTATTCCAAGAAGAAACTGACTTCTGTCCATGGTGTGATCAGCCGGGAGGTGATAACTACTACACACTTCCATAACCTTCCATCCATCTTCTTGCTTTCTCCTCACTGTTCTACAGACACATTCTACGTCTTCTATCTGTCTATCTATCCATCAACTCTGATACCATTAATGGAGATTAAGGAAGGATGAACACTATCGTTAGTTGCTTAAAACCATCCTGTTGGCTTTATATTACAGCATTCGGCGTCGTTGTGTACTCCAGTTTATGATGATGATTGTATAGGGATCTACCTCACTAACATAATGTCTAAAATGTTATGTTAAATAGTCATGCATAGACTACGCGTTGCTCGGCAGAGACAGACAGATCCATGAAAACCATGCAGGTTTTAGACTCGGACGAATGTTACCACCATATTCCCAACGTTTGGTAGACTCTGGGACACAGGTATACTTACCAATGTTCAATAACACATGCCTAGTTTCTTGACCTGAATGCCACATTCCACTTCGTCCACTGAGACGTAGTGTGGTAATGTCTGACGATTAAGGGAGCTTCAGTAATTGCCAAATTCCCATTTACGCATTTAGAAAAAACAACAGATTGAGCGAAGAAATATATTCCTTTTCAATTAGTTTATCATCATCGGCTCTACACTTTGTTAATTTTTACAATTCTAGCTAATTCTATTAACTTGTTTGTGTTTTACGTAACTCTTCTGAGTCATCCTACTCTTCTCAGTCGTCATTATTTTACAGACCTATTGATTATGTAATAACTTGTTGCTAACGCCTAATTAATTTAATTAATTTTCACCCTTCGCCCCTTGGAAACTTAGATATCTTGTTACTAACACTTGTCAATTAGTTGTTTTGATGACCTGTAACCTCTTAATTTCACCCCACCCCCGTCTATACCTAAAACTGAATAACTAGAATAACCACTTGATTGGTGGGACATTTTTGATGTAAAAAACAATATATTTGTGTGGAGCCAGCCGATGTGATGAGGAACTAATTGAAAAGGAATATATTTCTCCGCTCAATCTCTTGTTTTTTTTCTACATTAAGGGAGTCCCGAGAAAGCATACCGCACCAGTCCAGGCACTCCACCTCAACTCATTCAGCTCTGTAAGAACTTGTGGAGAGTTATCATACGAAGTAATAACAGCCAATGATATTCATCAAAGATGCACAATATATTCATTTTTGTTTAATTTCACCGGAGATGCACTAACTGATGTAACGACGTAGGGAGTGATTTGTTACCAGATAACAGTCCAGTCGATATAAACCATGCAGATGACATTGTCTTTTTAGATGAAAACGCTGACAAAATGCAATCTGCTAAACACTTTGAGCGTAAATCTTCGTGTGTTTGGCATGCTATGTCAAATGTGAGATAATCCTGCAGGACTAGACTGTACCGACTCTTAGGATAAAAATAACGAATGATGTGATTAGGGCAAGTCACATTAAGCCTAATGGGCTGAATGATGACGAAGTTTCAACAAGGATACAAAAAGCTCGTGTGGCATTTGCGAATTTATGTCATCCCTCACATAGACGTGATCCGGCTATCAATCGAAGGACGTATATGTATTTCACACTTTACTCCGTCTACCTTTATGGCTGTGAAAGTGGAAGACCTAAATGGGCTGGCTGTCTTCACTTCACATGTTCCTCCCATCTCCCATGTTAAATGATAAGGAATACTGAGGTAAGACCAACTGTAAGACAAAGATGGAAAATCGATAAGGTTGTGCAGCTACATCGATTAAGATGATTAGGACACGTGTTACGCACAACAATCCATCGGAATCCCAATCCAGCAATGTTAACTGACATACGATTAAGCTGTAGAAAAGTAAACAACCGTTAAACTAAAACAAGACATGAATCCATGAAGTCGTTAACTGTTGGATAAAGCCAAGTAGGGAGGTGTAGACTGCCCGTTTGAAGTCTACAAGATAGTAAGAACCAGTGACTTCAGACTGTTGGTGTCGTGGCTCAAAATTCTTCTATGCGATAAATACACATAGCACATACATTAACTTCTCATTACTCTCCATGTATTTATTTTTTCTCCTCTACATTTCCATTCATTATATTTTCTTGGATTTTCGCCCTCTACCTTAGTATACGATATGAAGTGTAAAAACTTGAGCTGCTGCACTTTCCTGAGAAGTTATATGCTGAAGACAAAGTCAGTCACTCAGTAAGCCGTCTATGTAGACTTAAGTCCTGGTGAGTGTCAGGAATACATACACATTATATTTTCAGAAAAATACTTATCAGAACATTGGATCATAAACCAACTTGAGAAAGTGCAGAATTCTCGCGTTCATTTCTCGTAGAATTGAGTTGCATTCTCAAGGATTCACACTGAGCTTGAGTATCCCGTAGTTCTGATTGACGCTCCTTAGTGGAAAAGAAATAAAGGTTAAGAGGAAAAATGTCTCATCAATCTAGAATCACGTCGCCTATAACAAATTTACAAAAATGTATCCCGTTGCAGTAGCTAGCCCAAGCTATACAAACCAAATATTTCGTAATTTTGATTAAAATACAATGCAATGGATTAGAATTTCTGTTACACTAAGACGAACGTAACTATACTGTGATATACAACTTGAAGCTTCTTTGGAATGTATAACAAACAACTCACTATTGGATTGATGTTATCCTACGAATAAAAGTGACGTGTGCTGTCAAACACACCGTTCTGCAAACCAAACTTTGGTTGCAACCAACAATCAAGATTCTGTGTTTTTAATATCTTTATAAATGAAGAGGTGAAAACTCTTCGTATGCTATGTCATAAAATTGCATTGACACTGAAATTAGGTAGATATAATCTGCACTCATCCATAGTTTAAGAAGAGGGAGTATAGGTAGTCGAGTGTGCTGACCACCTCATTTGTTTGGAAAATGCTAACAAAACCTTGGTTCCGCTACAAAAGGTCCATCTCACAGTTTCCAAATCACCCTCATCTTTCGCATAGACGTGATATCTGGATATCCACCAAATGACGTGTGCACTGTTCACTAGTTCACGCCATCGCTTTTTACGGCTGACATTTGGTCGTTGAAATTGGAATACTTGAAAAGGATAACCGTCTTTCAGCAATCAATCTTCCTTGTAAGTTGATGCAATATGGCAGTAATGCCGTTAGGAGTAAATTATTGAGTCAAGAGGGAAATTAATCAACTACATTGTCAAGCTGGATCGATTGACACGATTAGGGCACGTGATGCATATTCCAAGAACTTCAAATTTATTTACTCATACCTTTAGTTGACGTTCCAGTTCAGTGATATCTTTCCGCAAACTATCACGACCCTCTTCTAGCTCAAGGATTCGTAGACGATGCTTTGACTCCTCCAGTTCCATAGTAGTTTTCACCATGGATATTTCATCTTCCAACCGTTTAACTTCGTCCGACAGTGCACTACTGGCCACCTCATCATCGTTGTCAGAAGCCTGAAGAGAAATAAATTTAACACCCAGCATAGATTAGATGTTAAACACGTCACATACAACATATTTCATGACAAAATCAATCTCTGCGGTAAATCCCCATACTTACAAACGAAATGCAACAGTAATCCTAGACAAAAACTCCATACAGATAAGATGATTAGGAATACTAAACTTATTCCCAAATGACTAAGTCATCGAAAACGATCACAGAGCAACGACTTGTTCAGTCTGTGTGGTTTGAAATTATGCCAAAATCATGTTATTAGCCTAGGATAAATGCTGCAAACATTATTATATGAAGAGGGGTATCCGGTGAGATCAATTGAAGGTTTCAACAACACAGAAATGTACATCTCAAAACTCCTTGCTACTGAAATGAGGTCAATACAAGACAATTAAACAGCTAGACTAATAATAGCCTCAATTGAATCAATGAAATAGTGTAACCTAGAACTAATAAACTTTCGTGAGATGCTCTGTATTAGCGTGCCTGTCCCACTAGAAGTACACCATAAACTGCATGAGTTGATCATACACAACAGAAAGTCTCCCCAAATACTCAACATTCCAAGTGAGGCAAACCAAATGCCTCATCAGCTTGAAAAAATCCTGTCTAATGAACTACCTAAACTTTCGGTACGGATAAAGAACATCTCCTTTTCAAACCAACACCAAGCATAACAAGTATACCTACCTCACAATTCTGAGCCTCAGCTTCTTCGAAAGCCTCCAACTGTTCCATCAACTGAGCTACACGTTTTTCAGTAGCATTAACCATCTCAGTCAATAAAACGACTTTCTCTTCTATTGTTTGTTGCTTTTGTTCCCGAAGCTGGTCAATAACAGATTCTTGGTCTGCGATTTTCTGAAGATAATAAGCCGCCATATCTTCTTTCAACTGTACTTTTCTTGATAATTTCTTATTCACTTCTAACATATCCTGTGTAATTGTCGAAACGGATTTAATTCACATATATGTTGCACAATTCAAGGAATTACATAACAAAAAAGCAAAATAATTATCATTCCAATAATCTCGTCAAAAAAGTTTATTCCCCAGCTAATGAATTCGGCTACAAAAATGCTGTACACGGAGACCTATAGAGCGGACAAGTATGGAATATATAAAAGTTCGTTTGTCACATACTACAATGACAGCCCCATTCAGCTGGAATGAATATAAATCTCCTAGATTGTAAGATTATGTGAACATTACTAGTTGGATCACAAAAGCAATTGATACTCAGTTCTTACCTCATAAGAAATTACACCACACGGTATCCTATTATCCTGACAATATTCGGTTCACAACACGACAACTGCGTAATTTTGCCACCAAATCTCTGACTGAAGAAGTTAGTACTATCCTACTTTTTGACCAAAGTACCCTACCTAAGCCTGATGCTAGCTCATTTGCTTAAACCGCTATCCTCAAGAGGCTTTGAGATGTTAGAAATGATCCAATACGTGCAAACTTTAATATATCCCTCCTTAAATGTTCTCAATAGACTGATCTAAATTAATTCAGTGACCACCACTTGAAAACCCGAGTATTACATCATGTGATGTCTGAATAACCTAGAAACTCTTATGTTAACTTAAGATGCCAAATAGTCTCAACGGAAGAATCCCATCTCGTCAATCGATTACCCATACCCCTGTGTTGCTAACGCTTAAGAGACTAACAGCTATAAAACAGAAGTGAACACACTCATGTTCCAAAAACCTAATCAGTGATGGATATCCAAAAGTATAAACGTCACTTGTACAGGAAACATGAATGAATGCATAGCGACCAACTCGCAGTGTAGAGACTCTATCAGTTCACTAAAACAGTATGCTATACTAATGGTACAAAGTAGTCTCGACGAATTCACTTGAGCACACCGACTAAGAAGAAGTGCAATCACGCCCACTGTATTGATGCACAAACTCCATAACTGAACACTTACCTCCTAGATTAGCATTAAATTTGTTATATCGAATGTCGTGGGCAAACATATGCTTTACAATAAGGCTTGACGAAACAGGGTGACTCATCCTGTTTTTATCTCCTGAACCTTTGAAACTACATTCAAAAGTAATCAATCGTAATTTGTCTTTGCCAATGGTTTACACTTTCTTCCAAACGTCTGCCTTCCACGAACGTAAATTGATATGTAATTACAAGTTCGCTTAGTCTCGCTTTATCGATCCCTTCACCTCTTTCGAAACTCTTCAAGAAACAGTCATAACCATCGATGAGTTCACTACTCGTTAATTTAACCAAAATTTTATCTGAATAGGGTCAAAGCAGATTAACGCTAATGAGTTAGTTAGCAAACGATAAGTAACAAAACCCATCTGAAATCACAATCACTTACATCCATCCTTATGACAATGACCGTAGAAACGAATTCGCCACAAATTATCTGCAGAAAAGCAAACAATTATTGGAAATTAGTTTAGGTTGAAACGGACTAATTGATACCAAATACTAGGCAAAATGAGTGATGGGTATGTCTTAAGCGTACAGCACTATAGCACTCCATTATGGATAAGATTTTATTTTGATAAATCACACAGTGTTGTACAGGTATATTAACTGATGACGTTTCGAGCACAAACTATTGCCCATCAAGTTACTCACACAACTTTTTTCCTTCACTTATATACATGTGTGGAATCGATTAGATATTGGAATAAAAATCAATATCGGATAATGTACATTCAGAAATAATAGTACCAGTGTTATTGATCGATTACAATCAGATGGGAAAAATAGGACTAGTGTTTTTATAGTCATAATGAGTAACTTGTTAGAATGTTGTGATGTGTTTGAATTGAAATGGAATTTTGAGATTATTTATTATCCTCTTCTGATTTGAACGGCGGTAATAATATCTTCCATATTTCTGGTATTTGCATTGAGTCATTTCTGTTGCATGTGTTGGGTGTAGACTCGATGAATAAGGATTCAGCAATCAACCTCTCTCTCCACCTACCTAGATTACATTTTAGAATTTTAACCCTCTCCCATCCTATTGTGTGGTTGTGCGTTAATGCGTGAAGTACAATAGCTGAGCTTTTTTCTAAATCACTTATCTTCTGGGGGTCAACCATTCTAACCTTAGCTAAATTCTTATATTCCGACAATCGGACTACCCCCGGCCTACATAGTTTGACCTATGCAGTTGACCTAACTCACAGTCATTGCAGGGTATTTTGTAAATTATATTATTTTGTTTAATTGGATCCACCGGGTCTTTCAACCTACAAAGCTTGTCTCTGAGTGAGTTTGTAGTTTTCAATGCCACCCTAACTCCTGCTTTATTTAGAATCCTACGTAGGGCCTCAGATGTCCCCTCCCTCAATAAATGGTATAACAGTGGATGACATATTCTTTCTTACTTATGTTATCATTACTAGTTACACAATTATTTTTATTTTGTTTTTGGCTTTTACCGATATTCCTAATGAATTTTATAGGATAGTTATTCAACACCAACCAACTATTCTTCTATCTGTTTTATTTCGTCATTTAGGTCCTTTTTGTGCTACTTAGTGCTATGGCTCGGTTTGTCAGACACTTCACTAAGCCTGCCTTAACAGTTAACGGATGAGACGAATTAAAGTCTAAATATCTATTAGAATGCGTTGGTTTTCCATAAACACTAGTGTGAAGTTTACCTTCTTCTATTCGTTTTATCTTTCAATCTAACATAGTTAATTCTCCTTGTTCATTTTCTGATTCAAATGTGAACTTTATTCCTTCTACTTGTGAGTTTATATGTGTCAAGAAACTAGAGATATGTTCTGTTTTTAACACTGTGAATGTGTTATCCACATATCTCCACCATATTTTTGGAGTAGGATTAAATGTATTGAGAGCACTATTTTCCCAGCTGTCCATAAAAATGTCTGCTACAATAGGGGATATTGGTGATCCCATTGCTATGCCTTCTGTTTGTCTGTAGATTTTGCCTTGGAACTTGAAGATAGTAGATGTGAGGCATAACTGAATCCCTAAATTATTTCTTCAATGGGCAGCTTTGTTCTATGACTAGACTCTAATGAGATAAAAGTACTTGAGAAAGGACTAAATTTCAATGTAACAGTAAGTAAATTAAAACGAGAGGATGTCATTCCTAACATAGAAGTAACACTAGGTTCAATAGATAAGACAACAGCAGAAGAGGTTCGAGCACAATGTGCATTAACCCTAAAAAATCAAAAGAAGGCAAAATCAAACTTGACAAAGTCGGAAAGAGAAGCTTTAATTAATCTAAAACAGGATAAAAATATTGCCATCGCAAAAGCTGACAAAGAAAACGCCACCGTAGTTTTGAATAAATCTGACTACATCAAGAAAGTCAATGAACATATTCAAACGGGTCCATATGAGGAAATTAAGAAGCCTGTAGACACAGTATTGAATAAGGTTAAAAAATCCACAGCGGAATTAGTACACAGAATGAAGCCGTCACTGGGTGAGTCAAAATGGTTTAATTTAATGCCTAAAACTATTAATGCTAGTAGGACATATGGTACTATTAAAATACATAAGCCAGGATATCCCATAAGGCCAAAAGTAGATTTTAGAAATAACACAACTTATGAATTATCAAAACATTAAGCTCTAATACTATGCCCTATCAGAAATCATTCAAACTCTAGATTAACTAATTCATATGAGATGAAAAGTACACTAAATGACTCGCGAATGACGAAACAATGGTTAGTTTTGATATAACTAGTCTTTACACTAATATACCAGTCAATAGAGCCTTAGAAGCGGTTAAAAGAGAACTAACTTCTGATTCCGAACTTAAGTGTAATCCCAATCGTCAAGCAATGATCTGAAACAGAGAGCAAAGCGCACGTGTCGTGAGCTAGTAAGAACGAAGACTCAAGGTCAAGGATTATATTTACAACCAATCACAATACAATTAGATGAGAGGGAAAGGGCAGTCCTATTGGTATCCGTTGCCTCGTCTTGGGTAACCAATCCCTGCACACTTTATAGCCAACCTGAAAGTAGACAAGCATAGTTTGAACATTAGAAAACCGCCGAACTTACCATGCCTTACATAAGCAAGGTTTAAAGTATGCGGGTACAAATAAACTAATCATCCGGATGATTAGTTTATTTGTGAATGCTGAATTAAATCTCAGTAATTCTGAAATAATTCTTGCATCCTATAGTGAGTAAATTCTGAATCTGTTCTGAAATGGTTTGTTTAATGGCACAGACTAGAACTCAGTGCTGGTTTTAAGCATGACTAGAACGAATTCAGCACCGTGTTCTTTTTCTAGGCATTTTCAGGAGTAGATCAGAATATACTGGGTTTCCTTATCAGCGTTGTTCCAGCCATTACAGGACATATTAAGCTCTGACTAGCATTACTTCAGAACGAAAAGACCTAATTCAGCACATAGTGGCAATTTTTTCAGCTTAATTCTAGCCTTCTCAGCACATATTCAGAACTGACTAGCATTACTTCAGAACAAAAGACCTAATTCAGCACATAGTGGCAATTTTTCAGCTTAATTCTAGCCTTCTCAGCACATATTCAGAACTGACTAGCATTACTTCAGAACAAAAGACCTAATTCAGCACATAGTGGCAATTTTTCAGCTTAATTCTAGCCTTCTCAGCACATATTCAGAACTGACTAGCATTACTTCAGAACAAAAGACCTAATTCAGCACATAGTGCATTTTCAGCTTAATTCTAGCCTTCTCAGCACATATTCAGCACATATTTAGGCATGCGGAGCTTATTTTCAGCATTGAAGG